TACCCTCATAGCTTCAAGTACCTTTAAACCTGGAAGGACATTACACATAAATGTGCAACTTTTAATTTTGTAAATAAAGAACTTAGAAGTTGTTAAATGACTTGATCCACATAATGCAGCTCATTAATGTCAGGCAGGGACAGGTTTGGAGCCAGGTCTCCGGACACCCCAGTGGGTACACCTTTTAGAGTCTTGGAGCAAGTTGATGCGATAAAAGCAATTGATTTGTTCTCCTGCTCTTGAACTCCTGTTTTCATTTAGGTACCTGGTAGAATGCTGGGTAATGAGAGAGTCAAACCTTACTTTGTTTAACAGAAGAAACAGATCATGTTCTGAAGCTGTGTGACAAACAGCAAAGATAGGTGCTTTTCTCCTTTTTCACACTGAGTTCCCTGTTTCAAAAAAGAATATCAAACTTGGATGAAGATTTCAAATGATTTTGAATAAACTGGCAGATGTCAAGCAGCTCAGTAAAGCGGGATGTGGAGATGCAGGGAACTCATTTCCATTTGGACCTGGACTTAGAATTCCTGAGCTGCCCCACCCAAGTGTGCACAAACAGATTCTGTATTTGGGCAAGCAGAACTGCCTTTGTCTGCGGCACTTCAAACACGTGGAACTCTTCGGGTCTGTGAGAGGCTCCATGATGTTCTGGAATGGAGCCAAGCCCTCAAGTTCTTTTGTAGTTATGGGTCAGACATGTCAGGCAGGCAAGACGTCTGTGCTGCCATTTTCCAATCCCCCTAACCTGGGCCCCAGAGAAGTTGTAAGGCTTATTCTGTGCTGAGGAAGGCACCTGTGGTCATACCTGTGCCATTACCTCAGGTTCAGAAATCCGCCTTGAGAGCATTTATAACCCCCTCGTTAGGGATTGAGTGGCGTGGGGGCTGGAGTCCAAAGTGACTGGTCAAAGAGAAACCAATGGATTTGTATTGATGTCAGGGTGGTGGCGATGGGGAATGGAGTAGGTGTGACTAGGGCTATGGTTTCTGTTCACGGGCTACCCTCTGAGGGAGTGGACCAGCGTGGAGCAGGTGAAGCCACAGAATAGCCAACAGTGGATCGCCTGACACTGAAGTCTGCATGTGTGGGCCCAGTTTGTCAGTTTATCATAAAATCCCGTCCACTTCAAGATTTGCCCTTTTCTTGGCATCCTCAGTATCTGAAATGTTTCAAATCTTAAAAGGTGAGCTGAGGAAGCTAGCTTTAGGTTAGAACGTTTGACAGATTAGCAAATGGAGCCCCAAGTCGAAGAATGCCATTTGATGAGAAGGAGATAACATCAGCGAAAGGATCATTCTGAGTCACTTTGGCCATTCTATTGAGATCCAAGAATCCTGTCAGCTTGCAGGGCCCTTGGAGTGTCACTCGGCCATGGGAGGTGTCATTACAGATGTTCATAATGACCTTGTGCATCCATGAAAAGCTGTTATTTGAGGCTCCTTAGTTTTTCAGTCACAGCCAGAGTAATATATAAGACATAAAAAATTAATGTGGCTGGGCACGGTGGTTCACGTCTGTAATCCCAGCACTTTGGGAGGCCAAGGCAGGTGGATCATCTGAGGTCGAGAGTTCACGACCAGCCTGACCAACATGGTGAAACCCCGTCTCTACTAAAAAGACAAATACAAAAATTAGCCGGGCGTGGTGGCACATGCTTGTAATCCCAGCTACTCAGGACGCTGAGGCAGGAGAATGGCTTGAGCTTGGGAAGCGGAGGTTGCAGTGAATTGAGATCGTGCCACTGCACTCCAGCCCGGGCAACAAGAGTGAAACTCCGTCTCAAAAAAAACAAAAAAAAGAAAATAATGGAAGTGTTAGGCTCTGTTTTCGTTTCTCCCCTCCCCTACCCTCCCTTTCCTTTCCTTTTTTCCTCCCTTCCCCACCCTCCACTGTTGATTCTTCCTTCCTTTTCTCCCTCCACCTCTTTCTTCCTTCCTTCTTTTCTCCTCCACTCCTTGTTGTCTTCTTTTTTCTCCTCCACCCTCTGTCTGTCTTCCTTCCTTTTCTCACCATCCCCTTCTGTTTCTTCCTCCTTTTCTCCCCTCCCACCCGTGGGCGCCTGTTGTCTTCCTTCCTTTTCTCCCTCCCACCCTCCTGTCTGTCTTCCTTCCTTTTCTCCCTCCCCACCCTTCCCTTTTCTTCTTCTTTTCTCCTCCTCCTTTCTTCCTTTTTTCCTCCCACCCTCCCTTTCTTCCTTCCTTTTGTGCTCCCTCCCACCCTCCCTTTCTTCTTCCTTTCTCCTTCCTTCCTTCTTTCTTTTCTGATGGGAGTCTTCGTTCTATTGGCGCAGGCTTGAGTGCGTGGGCTTGATGAACAACCAGCTCACTGCAGCCCC